GCCGCCCCATTCGCCGAAGCCTCGGGGCGGCTCACAACATAAAATTAAAATATAAAACATTCAAATATACATACAAATTAACAATATAAAATAAGTTGCCCTGGCCAGATAAAATAAGCAAATAATATTAACAATTAAAATGACGTTTAAATAAAAAGGTCTTCGCCTGGCGCCGAAAAACAAATAACGACGGCGCCAGGCGGACCTCTCTGGGGAGCGCATTCCATAGATCATTACTTTTATCTGGATCAAACTATTCACACATCACTGAAATACACTACACTGAAATATATATTCAGGAATAGCACCATGTGAGTTTGTTAAAATTATATGAGCCAGTGAGTCAATTATATGCCATGTAAACAGTACCCTCAGTCACTAATGGTGGATTTTCAGGATCTCTTTGGTTGTGAAGTTTGAGGAAGAATTAGATACGTTTAAAGAGTGTCATCATTGCTAGGTGCACACTTTTCCAAAAATTAAATGATCAAAGAAAAGTATATTTAAAGCTTTTCTGTTTTCAGTAGTCTCTGATAAACAGATAAATAACTTGTTATGTTCTTACAGGAAACTCAACAGTCCAATTTTGGAACTGGTGAACAAAGTAAGTTGTATATCTAGGTTCTTTACTGCATTATTAATCAGTTCTTTTTCTTGGAACTAATTTCTAAGGTACTGTTTGAAAATATTTAATGATCTGTATAGCATTTAATTGTTTTCCTTAGACAGTTCTATTGGATTTTTAGCATTTATTGTGATATATTCTGAATGTGGCAACTTTATGTGAGAATTATACAAATGAAACAGTTATTGCATTTTGTAATTTCTGTAGATGAGATTACTGATGTAGATAAGAAAGATAAGTAAGAGAACAACTTCATTTCTAGCCTGCTTGTGTTTTCCCTATTGGGGCATAATTTAAAGCAGGCACTGCCTATGTCAAAAATGTGTCTGAGACTGCCAACTTTTCTGCCCTTGGAATGCTTTTAGTCTTTTAAACAAAAGCTGTTCTTAAAAATGTGTTGTTTCCAAAAAGACAACTATAATCAGTAGTATATTCACCATAAATGAAAGTATGTCTTATTTTATTAACTAATCTGACTAGTAAAAGCAGAAGTGGTTATTCTTAGAGGGGGAGTGCTTCTGGATCAAAGGGCCCTGACACTAGCAGTAGAAGGTATTGCACAGCTCTGCCATTTTTTCCTCTTTAATCTCTTTCTAGCATTAAAAAGGATAAAACAGTAAAAGCATGGGCAAAAGATGTAAAGCTTGTTGCACTCAATATGTCTCTTTAGTAAAAGATGACATCTTTCCCCCCATGTCAGCACCCCCTTTTAAAGGGACCCAGAGCTTTGTCAAAATGCTTTTTCCAATTAATGCACTTTCCCCAGCACCTAGAGTCTTGGAAAGACGTGCAAAATGTGCACTACCTGAAGGATTCTTGGTGGAGGGAGGGCAGATGGAGGATCTTGCTGTGAAGAGGATACAAATCACACCGCCCCTCTTCTAGCAAGCAAAGATCGCTCTGATAAGATTGCTCAATCGAATGGAATGAATTATGCCACTTTGTGCATGTGATTGGGTGAACGGCCTGCTGATTCTAGTGTTTCATTTGCTCTGTCCTGTTATTTGACCTCCAACAGTTTGGGTTTTGGAAGTATCTGGAAGAAATAAGTATTGTTTTTACCTGGAAACTTCAAGGTTGGAAAGGAAATGGGGGTAAAATAATTGCAGATTGTAGGCATGGAAGGTAAATGGAGGGTAAACTTGCTTTCTGTTTTCTCTCCATTTACTTCCCAGCCATACATTATGTAACACTGGAAGTGGGAAATGAATAACTTCCATTACTGGACAAGTTGCTGACTTAGGGAAGTGTTGAAAGGATGGAGGACAGTGAGAAGTGTCAGTTCAACACTTAAATGTGAGGGGATTACATTGCCAAGGATAAGATATGTCCCTTGCAAGCCCCTTTTGTTGCACTTCGTTTTTCCATCCCATTTTTGGTGCTTCTGAATTGTATTACTGGGTTCTTTTTTCCCCTTGCTATTATTTTTCCCCAGGTCCTTCCTAACTGCCTGCAAATAATTCTGCACAGTCTTTTTCTTGTCAATTTCCTTGTATATTATCTACTGTATTTGTCAGCTGAAACATATAAGGATATTGACATGAACAGAGGAAACATCAAACTGGCTTTTGTGCCCTTCCAAAGAACAGGGAGAGGGACAAGAAATACAAACATATTTGCATTCTTCCAGAGCCATGAAAATTAATTTTAGAAAAAGCAGTGAACAAAAAGAGGTAATGATTAGAGCAGGGAGAACACAATACATACTGGAGCCAACTGGGAGAAGGAGTGGGGAAAACAAGCCACAGCAAGGCTGATTCTCAGGTGTGTTATGGGTTGTTCAGCAAACAAACAACTGTGACTCATTTGTAGGGTGGCTTAGCATGACGTGGAGACACACACACTGTATCAAGGTTCAGGTACACTGACATGACTAACGTCTACTCTCATTGTGTCAGAGCTGATAGCCCCATATTGCAGTCTCTGTCTGAGTCATCCTTGCCTCCAATATATCACCTTGGGTAGCATATATGTTTCCTCTAATCAGATTTTCTCTTCTGAACGCAGAAAGATACAATTCTTCAACAAAAACTTCAAACGGCCACCAGTCTAAATCGTAAGTATGTTGTATACATTTTATGGAAGCATTTGTAAAATTAATGCTAGAAATGGCCATATGCTTGGTCTAATCAAAATGTGTAATCCAGTGCCCTGTTCCCATCCTAGCTTCTGTTTCTGTTCATGGGGCTACTGGTATGAGAGGAGATAACTGGCTGCGTCTTTCTTTAAACACCTCTCTTACTCTGGGAAGGGCTTAGCTTAACATTAGAGCAGAATCGAGTAGGGAAACCTTCCCTTTCATGAAAATAAAAGACTAGAGCAGCATGCAGACAACTGCTGGGACTGTTCATCCTAATGTGCTAATTTCATAGGGAGGTTTTGTGTAAGTGATCCTTCAAACTTGTATCCTTCACATATAATATTTAAAGCTGGATACCATACATTTTACCCTTTTTTTGGCATTTCTGTTGCATGTATATAGCTACCTTGAATTTAGTCAGCTGTTACTGAATTTAGTCACAATCTGGTAGGCCAATGAGGTATATAGCGGTGACTGTTTAAATATGCAGGATGCAGCTTGTGGCATACAAACTCAGGTACTAGGGGTCATATTCTACCCCATTCTAAGGTTATGTGGTGGTTGCACAGCCCCCATTGCCCAGGTTCAGACAAGATAACAAGCCAGGGATGTAGCTTGAATATTTAAAATCCCACCTGTTCTGTGCTGCAGCTTACCATGGCTTAAACAATCCATAGTGAGCAGCAGTGATAATATGAATTGGATCATTGTCAAACAACTTATTTTCATTTTAATGCAAAACTACATGTTAGACTGAAGAATTTTAACCCTGTTTCTATTTTTGTTCCAGATGTGAATCGAACCAGACAGAGTAAGATGCTATGTTTGTTACAGTGATGTCAAGTGTTGCTCTTAAATTCTTAATTCATTTTTTTAAAAATTAATAAAATATATGTATTTTATTCAGATTTGATTTCATGTACAATGTTAATTCAAACCCCAGAACTTTAATTGTAAAACTTGACAAAATTTAACTATTGATTAATGTCGTATAATACTTCTAAAAATACTGTAATGATCATTAAGCAAATAGTGATCCAAAAAATGGTTTACTTTTGGTGATAGAATTTGTATTGGTGCCGTCTATTATATTTTTATTCAGTTGGCACCCTGATTTCTGTGGGTTCTTCCTTTGCAACTGCAGTGGTGCAGTCCAGTTTTCATTTTGTTATCCAACAGACTAGCAGTTTTGTGGGAGCCCTTTGTTCAACGTTTTTCCCACCCACTATCCTCTCCTGTCCCCAGCCCTCTTTTGTTTTGTCAGTGCTGGCACCAACCTAGGTAGTATAACTTGGTTTTGTCTGTGATGTCTACTACATAATATGGACCCTTTAACTTTTCAGCGTATTATCCATGTGTTGTGCTAGAAGCATTGCTTTGGTGCAGGTGGGGTCCCCAACTATAGAAATGTGGATAAGATTTTGCTCAGTGCTGCTCGTACTGCATCAAATCCACACTATCTTCCTTCTCCACCTAAATCTGACCTGAATGGTCCAGATGCACTGGGGCAGTTGGATCCTCCAGTATTGCCACACTAGTGTAGTGTCTTGCATATTCTTGTTCCATTAGGCAACACCAACTCAAGAGGCTTCCTGCTATAAATGTTCTTGCATTTGATCCTATCTTTCTGCTTTTTGCTGTTTGCGGAGTATTATCTGTCTTTCCCCTGTTTTCCTTGTAGGGATGTAAGCATTTCATATCTTTCAGTATGCTTCTTCAATGAAGCATCTTTCCTTTATGGAGCAGAGGGAAGTTTGGAATCATCATAGTTTAGGTTAATTTCTTAGAATATAGTGATTTTAGAATACAAAAAGTGTTTCTTTTTTCTTCCCCATAGTGTTCTGATAAATGACTTGAAACTCAGCAGCAGTGAAGACAGTGATGGTGAACAGGTTATTATTATTATTGTTGTTGTTGTTGTCGTTGTTGTCATCATTGTGTATTCTGTCTTTCTACCAAGCTACAAAAGAGGTTAACAGCATAAGCAAAACAGCACAAGGCAAAGTACAAAATATAGATAAGGATACCTATAATTATTTAAAGGGCAATTAATGGAATTTTAAACAGAAGGACAATTCATAATAAAACTAGCCTTCTTGAAAGGTTGCCTAAATGCCATCTTTTTTCAAAGCAACAGAAGCCACACATATTGCTCTCAGGTGATCAATTTAAACCTTACACACCACAACAGATCAGACCTTCCCTTGGCTACCCCCTACCATATCTCAGGTAGCAGCAGGACCTCTAAAGTACCAGGCAGGATCATATAGAGGTATAATACTTCTGGTGTTTTGGTCTTTGAGTTGTCTTCAAGGATAGCTCCATGTATTTTTCTTCATTGTCTTTGTGCGACACACATATGGGCTCTGTTGTCAAAAGTGTTTCTATAGCTAAGCATTTGATTGGGTGGGAGCCGCTCCCCTCCCCGTTCCAGGAGTATATGAAAGGGGGTCCCACCCATTCCCTCACTACCTTTTTGACCACCACCACACCTAGATTGAGAAGTGCTTCTCTTTTCAACTTGAAGTATGCTAGCATTCTTAATTTCCTTTTTCACATCTTTCCTTTACTGCTGTTTCATTCACGAATCACCCTTTCACTCTTTCTCTTTAAAAAAAAATGCAAAAATATATTTCCTACCCACTTTCTCTCTACCCACCCCATTGTGTTTCCTATTGAACTGCTCATCATCTATATTTGATACTTCTCCACTTCCTCATATTCCACAATAGTGTCAGTGCCCCCATTTTGAAAATTCATCTGCTCTGACTACAAACTCCTCCCTGTGGATGGCTACTCCCTCTGTCTACTCTGCTTTGGCGAGGGGCATGTGGTGGAGGCCTGTGCACACTGCCAGGCCTTCTCTAAGCAAGCCTATAAACACCAAGTGGGCCAGCAGAAAGTTCACCTCTGGAAGAAGGCTCTGCAGGCTGCAGAATGCCTTCCTCCTCTAGTGGTGGTGGACACTGTTTTAAATCTTCCCTCCTCCCTGATCATGAGAGTACTTGCAAAGATCAGGAGAGAGAGGGCAGACTGCAGACTGATCACCCCATGGTGGCTGAGACAACAGTCCTGCAACTCCTGCATACCCTGGACATGCTCTCACAAGACCTCACAGTGTGGCATATCAATCCATAGGTTCCATGACAGAGTCTACCTCAGGAACTCAGGTCTATCCTTGGCCTAGCCCTCACACCATCCACAAGGAGGTCATACCTGGCAAAATGGAATGCTTTCATTACATTCTTGCACCAGGAAAACCACAAGACACCACTATTGAGTGCATCCTTTGCTTCCTAAAGATGCTGTTCCAGAAAGGGCTGAAACCCTCCCTCATTGAGGTGTGTCTGGTGATAATTTCCTCCTTCTTCTTGCCCATAGGAGGAGTCTCAGTCTTTGCACATCCTTTATCTCACCAGTTCCTGCAGGGTCACCTGGCTCCCACAGTTTGCCCCTGCTTGCCAACATGGAGCTTCTTGATCATGTTGCAGGTCTTGATTAAGATGCCTTTCAAGTAACTGGCCATGACCAACTTTTGCCCCCTGACTTGGAAGGTCTCTTTCCTAGTGGCTATCATGTCAGCCAGGTGTGCCAACAAATTGTACACCCTCTTGGTAGAACTTCCCTGCCTCACCTTCCACAGAGACAAGGCCATGTTCTGGTCAGATCCAACCTTCCTCTCCAAAGTAGTGTCAACTTTCCACCTCAGCTAGGACATTCTCCTCCTAGCCTTCTTTTGTGCCCTTCCAAAAGAACAGAGAGTGGGAGGATGGGTCCTTGCCTTCTATCGCCCCAGGATGGAATCCTTCTGCCGCTTACCAAGACTCTGCCTGCTAAATCAAACAGAACAAAAGGAGCCCACCTTCCACTCAGAGACTGGCAAACTGGGTCATGAGCACCATCTCTCTGGCATACAAGATAGCCAGCCTTCAACTCAACAGTTCTCCCAAGGGCTCACTCCACTCAAGCCACGGCCATGTCTATGACCCTCCTTGCAGGGAGATCCTCCCCTGCCCCCCGCAAGAAGTTTGCAGGGCTGTCATGTGATCCAGACCCTTGATGTTAGGCAAGCACTACAGGCTAGACATCTGTGTGAGGGAGAATTGTTCCTTCAGCAGAGCTGAAGGCAGTCTCAGTGGAACTGAGGGAATGAGTAGGAGCCCCTTCCATGTACTTCTGGAACAGAAAGGGGAGGGGCTCCCACCCAAACAAATGCTTAGTTATAGAAGCTTTCCGACTTCAGGCTCCACTCAGGCACAAAACCTGTATGTGTGAATGCTACAGTTATCTAATGAAAACATGAATTACCAGGTCTGAGCAAGCATGAGTTGTCAAGAGAAGAACAGAGTGATCCTTGCACATGAAAAGGAAGTGGGCACTGGGTCATCCCTTCAACATTTTAGGTGTGACTCTTCTTGGTGTTTTGCAACTTTCTACCCTTTCCTGAGACTCCAAACACACAGGATGGTTAAAAATAATAATAAAGGCTACTTTTATGGGAGTTCAGATATTTGTCAGCTAATTGATGAAATTCAGAATTACTTTTAAAGGAGGTTTTTTGGCAACCTAATGAAGGTTTTTTCACAGAGGCATGTATTTGCCCCTATTTAAAAAAAAACAAAACCCTGATTAGCCCTGCTTGGGCACTTTGAAGTGACTGGCACTCTGAAGGTTACCATTTGTGATCTCTGTGGGGGAAAAGAGTGACTAAAGGGGCGGATTACTTGGTGAGACAAAAATAGCCTAAGAACTCAAAGCAGTGGGCACTGCAACAGTGAAGGTTAGTCCAAAATCCTTTTTGGACACCAGGGAGGTAGGTGGGCTGTCACTGGCCGTAGGCTCGATAAGCTTGACGAGAGTGGCAAGTTGTTCACGCTAAGCAACTCACTAGCTACTTCCTGGTATGTATGATGGAGTTGGCTGCCTGGGCCTGAATTGCACAACAATCTATTGTGGATAAATAACTTCAAGAACAATCCATGGCTTGCAAGGTGTCTTTTTTCTCACAAATAAACCAACCAGCAGGAAATGGTCTAGGTTCATATGGCATGACAACCCACCTTGGCTTTTCACACATGATGAGTTGCTTTGTTATGTAGACCCAGTGAAAGACAGTGCCAGATAAACCTCTCAGAAGTGAGATCCAGAGATAGGGATTAACAAGAAAGGGCCTGTTTTCAGTCAGCATCTGCCTTAATTCAGGTGGTGGGTCAGGTGGTGAGACAGACAGTGCACAATCTCAGAAGCCAGTTTATACTGTGCAGGTTCAAGCAGGCTGTTTAAGTACTCCATTTCCAAGTAACTTAGGATGTTTACAGGTTAAAACCACAGGCTTAGAGTTTTGGTTGCAAATGGACCTGTTTCAGATATGTTTTAAAAACGCTGTAGTAAATGCATAGGAAGAATAGCAGAGTTGTTTTGATGGTATAGAGAAAAAAAACTGTATTTGCAAATGAAAGGTGTATTAATTGACATGCCTGCCAAAAGACATCTGAAGTATTATAACAGACTGTCCCTGGATGGCTGATTCATCTCATATTGACAACTTCTTTTTGCTTATAAATTTTGGCAAGGTATGCAATGGATTTCTTTGTTTTCATTTTTATAGATGAATGATGTTCATATGGATTAAATGCAGTTAAATCTGCTATTCCCATATTCTTAATCCATGTTTTATGCATGGTACAAAAATGAAGATACTAGTTTGGACCTTTTGCTTTTTCTTACAGGACTCTGTCAAGACTGTGCCAAGAGGTACACCTGGAAGGTAGGTATATGTTGATAATCTGCCATTATTCATTGGTACTGAACTAGTAGTTGTGTATCATTAGCCTCTGAGGTGTAAAGTCATGTTTAAAGAAAGGACCAGTTGGGACTTTGTCTATAATCACATTCATTTGACAGGCTAGAGAATTTTTTTTCCCTTAACATTTAACCGTCAAAGTATGGATAATATTTTAAAATCCTGTGACTTATTTTGGTCTTTGTTCTACCTTCTTTTCTTTCAGTAACTCTGAACCTTCCCAGCATACAAGTGAAGGGGCAGATAATTCTAGGGATGACTCAAGCAGCCATAGTGGATCTGAAAGCAGTTCTGGTTCAGACTCAGAGAGTGAAAGTAGTTCTAGTGACAGTGAGGCTAATGAGCCATCACAGAGTGCATCTCCTGAGGTGAGATTTGTTTCATTTTGTCAATAATACAGCAATTTCTATAATGTTAATATTCCTCAAAAATGTGAATAGTAGAACAAGAACTTGAGAATTGTGTATCAGTTTGGATGTAAAATAGGGCCACCCAAAAATAAGCTGACGACTTTTACATACTCAGAAAGTTTCCTAGACATAAGAACATAAAAGGAGTCCTTCTGAATCAGATCATTGGTTCATCCCATCCAGCATTCTGTTCACATGGCAACAAACCCAGTGCAGCAGAATTCACAAGCAGAATGTGACTGCAACTGTCCCCTCCAGCAACTGGTACACTGCCTCTGATATTAAAAAGTATATACATGGGACAAGGAAGTAAAATCAAAGCCAAACTGCCTTGTGAGCTCTGTGGCGTATTGAATGCATTAATAAGAGAATTCTCCAGAGAGGCTCTGAATGCTAAGACAGAAACTACTTTCTTCAGTTCTGCTTTTCTTGATGGAAGGGAACAAATGGAAGGAAAGGAAAAAGTATACCCATTCCCTTTCCTGTTCTCTAGAACAGCCCCTTCCCCATATAGCAATAAAATGCTCAGGTTCAAGGCTGGCAAGCAACCAGAGATCTGACATCACAACAATGCTCCTGTTACGTGCTGGCTGAAGTTTAACTTGCCCTCTCATTGGTCATGGATGCACTACAACAATTTGTTGCCATTGCCAATTCCACTTGTTTGTTTCATAATTAAGCCAAATATGCAGTTTGACACTAATCTGCTTTCTTGGGAGAGCAGCCAGGTGAGCATACAAGGAGCAAACTGCCCCTGCTGCACACTGAGGCAGCCTTCCCCTTCCTTTCTTTGTGACGGTGAAACTACAGAGGGTATACACTTCAAAAACTGGCAGCTGTACAATGCTTTCTATGGGTTTATTCTGATGTATGTTACTTTTTGATTTTGTAAACTGCTTTTAGATTTGATATGGGGTGATGGTGGTGGTGATGATACAGCAGCAGACGAATGAGCAGCATAAGAACCAGTGTGGTGTGGTGATTAGAGCGTTGGACTAGGGACTTGGAAGATCTGGGTTTTAGTCCCTATTTAACCATGTTGCTCTTTTGGGGCCTGTCACTGCCTCTCAGCCAAACCTGCCTCAAAAAATATTGCTGTGAGGATAACATGGAGCTATGCAAGCCTTCTTGGGTTCTTCACAAGAGATAAAAAGGCAGAATACAAATGTAGGACAATGGGGGTGAAGATGGAAGACTTACCCCAACCTCAAATTTGCAAGGCTATAGTAAAACATTCCTGTGCATTCCTCAATGCAGTTTATTAGCCACCCAGGAAGTACAAGCAATATAGAGCTTTTTTTCATTGTGGACTTTCCACTTTCTTTCTTTTAGCCAGAGCCACCTCCAACGAACAAGTGGCAGCTTGACAACTGGCTAAACAAGGTGAATCCACATAAAGTGTCACCAGCTTCTTCTGTGGACAGTAACATCCCATCAACACAAGGCTACAAAAAAGAAGGTAGAGATCAGAGCACAGGAAGTGGATATACAGATCAAAGTGGCTCTAAAGATTCCATTTCCTCCACTCCTGGAAGAGATTCAAAAGCCAGCCAGAAAGGATCAGAGAGCAGTCGTGGCAGACAAAAGTCACCTGCTCAGAGTGACAGCATGACGCAGAGGAGGACTGTGGGTAAAAAGCAGCCCAAAAAGGCTGAAAAACCTTCTGTGGAAGAGCCCAGAGGGGGCCTGAAAATAGAAAGTGAAACTCCATTGGATATGGCAACAAATATGCCCTCAAATAGACACAAGGCAGCCACAAAAGGCTCCAGAAAGCCCAACATAAAGAAGGAGCCCAAGTCTTCCCCTCGTCCTACAACAGAGAAAAAGAAATGCAAGGTTGCAAACAAATCCACCCAGAAGTCTAAGGAATTTATAGAAACAGATGCATCATCTTCTGATTCTGATGAAAATGAGAGCCTTCCTCCTTCATCACAAACTCCCAAATATTCTGAGAGCAATAGGACTCCTGTTAAACCCTCCATGGAGGAGGATGACAGCTTTTTACGGCAAAGAATGTTCTCTCCTATGGAAGAGAAGGAACTCCTTTCACCACTTAGTGATCCTGATGAAAGGTATCCCCTTATTGTGAAGATTGACTTGAGCCTCTTAACCAGAATACCAGGGAAGCCTTACAAAGACACAGATGTGTCAAAAGTTGAGAGGAAAAATGTGTCCGAGAAGCATCCAAGGGAGCCCCAGAAAACTTCTTCTGACAAAAGCTCCAACAAGGGCAAGAGGAAGCATAAGATATGTCAGGTCAGTTTTTACTTTGGAGTTTTTGTCTTATCTAAATGGAATATTAGGAGTAGTCTTTGATATCTAGAAGCCTTTGTATATAATCAATGTTTAACCAGCTCTGTTAGGAAAGAAAATAATTTTGGTGAGGCATATATGCACTTAGTTTATTTATTTAAGTTCCACAACTGAACTGAAGTAAAGAAAATTTAAAATAAGGGAAAGAGGAGATGTTTCATTCATTGTGATGTGATTGATGAATTTGGCATCATACTATGGAGGCAAGCAGAAGGTCTCTTAGTGATAGAAGTTGCCAATAGTAGTTCAGTCAGTCACCTGAGCAAAAATTGTGCTGGTAATTATTTGACCTTATATATACATAAGATCTCTATTATGTAATAATACATATGTTAAATTGGAATCTAACCAACTTAGGAGATGGTAAAAGATGGCAACCTATACATCATGCATATTGAAAGGATGTTTGTGCGTGTGTGTCTGTATAAAGAGAGAGAGTTAGAGATATAGAATTTCCAGAAATCTTGAAATGGGAAACCCCCTTTTTTCCTTTAAAGAGGGAAGAAAAATCCAATCTGGGGAAAGTAGAAAAATAAGCAGTACTTATTATTTTAGTGCACTTTACAGATCAGACACTTATGTTTTGGGAAAGTTGCTTCCAAATACTTTGTACTTGAGCTCCAGTCAGCCTCAAGCAGCATAGTCAATGGTCAGGAATGCTGCACATTGTAATCTAAAACGGGTCCTCAGACTTTTTCAATTGGAAGGCGGCCATGGCGAGCGTGGGCTGGTGAGGTGGCGGCGCGTGCAGCGAGGTGGCAGCAGGCGTGTGTGTGCCAAGGCAGCAGCTTGATCGCTCGGAGAAAATGATCTCTGAGTGAATCCAAAACAATCTCCGAGTGAGCAAGCTGCCCTCTCGCCCTGCATGCGCCCGCGCAGCAAGGCAGGTGGCGGCGGCAGGCGCATCACGGGGAGTCCAAAACCTCTGATGCGGGCCGGATAAATGGGCATGGTGGGCTGGACACTAATTTGGGGAAGTCTACTTTATTTAATCATTGAATTTCTATCCTCATTAGACAGGTTGACTCTTTGGACAGCTTATTTATTTTATTTATTTTTATTTATTAAAACATTTTTATGCCGCCCCATTCGCCGAAGCCTCGGGGCGGCTCATATTATACAAAATATAATAACAAAAACAATAAAACAATAATATTAAATTAGAGATATATACCACAACAATAAAACAACAGCAATAAAACATGAAAATCCCACAATAAAACCACCAACATAAAGCAGCTTTTATATTCCTAAAGTAATGATATGTATAACTTGGTTTGCTTATAAAATAAGTATTACATTCAAAATATTTTGAAAGTTAATCTGCAATTATTGTCTGATAAGCTATACTTTAAAATTTAAGGTACTGAACATAACAAATTAAGTTATCCATAAAATACTCTAGGTTCCTCTTTTATGTCTAAAGGGAACTTCAAGTAAGTAGGTTCTGAATCATCCAAATGCCAGAAGAAGCCAGAAGATTTGGAGGCAAAGAATGGCTGGTGTACAGTATCTGTTCCTGTTCATAAAGAAGTTCAGGGAAACCTAGCCCTCTTCCTGCTTGTAGAGTGGAGCTTAGAGAAATCTGATCTGACAGAAAAGCTATTGAGATTTTATTTAGCTGGGGAAGACACGGCTTAGGAAAGGTAACCAAGCATATTTAATTTAACAACTTAGCCTATGCCATAGGAACCAGGCTACTGGGTTTCTTTTAAGTAAAAGGGTTATTCTAATTGCAGTAGTTAAATGGCTTTGTGTTTAGCCAGCATTCCCAAGCTGTGAGGCCTGAGAATGTAAAACTATGGCAGTATGTTCTGGAGGCTGGGTAACAGTATATAAAAGTCTTGTTATGAATTAAAAAATATTTCATAATCCAAAGGTTTTTATGTCTGTTTTTCAGTTAAAAAAAAAAAAAGTCCAGGTGGGCACCCCCCCTTTTTTTTAACAGATTGAGGTTTTTTCCCCAAACTGTGTCTTCTCTGTGCATAGTACTGTGTTGGCAAGAAAGTATGCTTGAGTGAGTAGTCTCTTGCACTGTAGACTTTGCAACTTTGTGGTATCATGCCAATAAAGAGCATATTTACATGGATTAAAATATTTCCCTAAATAGTATTTTGTTCAGCTCCTATTTTTTCATATACAGGGAACCTTAGCTTTCCAGCATTCTTTGTGGGGTCGTTTGGAGACCTAATAGTGAAGTCCTGTGACCGCAGAGCTGGACTCTAAACAAGTAGCTCCTGCCTCTACCTTGAATGCAGCCAGTACAAAAAGAATCATGTTAGCTACTTCTCTTAGTCCAGAAATCAGTCTTGGAGAGAGCTAAAGAGATGGGCTAGCTGGGAGGCTGAGGCCAGTAGGTGATGCTGTATACAAATGGTGCCCTAGTCTCCTCTCCTGCTCTGTAGCTGTTCCTCTAGGCAGCTAATAAAAGTCAGCCTCAGTTTTCAGAGGACCAATTCAGAGTGGAAGACACTGGATCATGCCATTAGCCACATTTGTATGCTTTGAATGAATATTTCACTGGTGATTCTTCCTTTGTGGATACTTTGCATGCCAAAGGTAAAATGTCCATAAAAGTGCCGTGGTTTAAGTTAAGTTGCAACTGAACAAGTTGGTTGGTAGTTAGTTAGCATAGACATGTTAAAAGCTATGCTGAATGTGGTACAAACTGAAGTAAACTGAACTGTTGATTGCGTTCATTTCCATTTTTCCTCTTGATAGTTGTTCACAGCTAAGCTAAGCTAGATATTGCTTGAAGAGCCAAAGTGGCTTATATCGAAGAAACCCAGTAAGGATTGGGAGGCTACTAGATATAATGTACTAGACATAACTTAGCTCATTCTCTCCTGGTAACAAAAATGCTAAATTAGAACATTCTCTGGTGCAGTGGTTTTCAACCTTTTTAAAACAGGAAAATTAATTTGAGGACCACTGAGGCAGAAATAAAAGCATAATATGTACATAATATAGTATTTTGTGTATTAGTTTTTAAATATAGTACCACAAAAAGAAAATTCTCTAAAATAACTAGAAATTGAGCAGTAGAAAATGCTAATAAAAGAATAAAATATTGAAATTAAATGCAATCAAATACAACTGAAATTTTTAGAGAGCAATGTGCAATTCAAATAAGGCTGCTGTGAAATCTGTTGTTGCTCCTTTTCAAGAATACTTGATCAAAAATTTACAATAGCAAAATACAAAATCAATTTAAATGCAATACTAATAGGAAATACAGATTCAAATGCAATATTAGCAACAGAGCAATACAAAATCAATCTGTTACTTAATACAATAATATCCAATAATAATATTCATAATGTTAAATACTGAATTATAACAACCCCCCCCCCCCCCCACACACACACACTCAAAGCTCCATACATACTAGCATGGACTGGCTGAAAAACCACTCTTAGCACAAGCCTGCCTCAGCATTTCCCTTCCCGGCAGAAAACAGCAAAGAAAGGAAAAGGCCTGGTCTTGGGTCCCCAGCATGGTGTAGCTGTGGGCTGTCTACCACTGAGCTGCCTCTCCCCTCTCCGGGGAGGAATCTGCAGCAAGAGCCCAGTGTGCCCCATGTTGGTCTGTGGCGAGTGAGATGCTTTCATGGACTGGCAGGAAAATGCCGATGGATCGGCGTCGGTCCATGGACCAACGTTGAAAACCACTGCTCTAGAGTATCTAAAAAATATTCTGATGCAAATTAAGGTAAGGACATTTGCAACTTCAGCCAGAAAACCCACACCACTAATTTCATCATAGAATGACATAGAATGTCCCATGTTTATTCAGACAATCATATCCTGGCTAAAATGAGCAAGCCCTTTGCACATACATGCAACTCCTTCATGGAAGAAGCAATCATAACAAGGAGACTTTGCCATAGTTTGCTGTTTTGCCCAACCCTGAGCTTTAAACTACAGTTGAATATTCTGGCCTGTTTGGAAGCTGGCCTTTATTCTGGATTCTCTCAGAAAGTTTTGTTTTAAAAATGAGGGAAAGACTCTGATTAAAAGGAGGGAGAAGGTTGCTATATTCCAATTATAATTTGGAACATTCTAAACTGTTAGAAGTTGCATCCTGTTGGAGAGGGGAGCCTGTGTACATCATGATTACAGCTGTACAGCTGTTGTGTTCCCTTCTCAATGTGTAAGGTGAATATCAGGAGGCACTGTCTGCAAAGGACTGTATGCTACATAACACACACACACACACACACACATGCACACTCACCCCCCCCCCCGCACACTTTTTGGTGTTATATATCCATTTAACTTTATTTCATTTTAATTATATGGCGAACCTGTTATCTCATTAACAATACATTTGTGCTGTTGACTACCAGAAGAAGCATAATTTCATACTTCATTTTTCTGTTCCTGTGAATGTCTTAGTATATCCATTATAAAGAGTAGCTTACAAATAAAAAGTCCGTACAAGTCTTTTAAAACAATTATTTCTTAGTACAATAAAAAGAATAAATCTCCATCTGTGTTAAAGGGAACCATCTATGGAAGCTTTCATTTCAACATGACAAGACCAGTTTCTGTTTTGACAATCTATCGTGAGAGTAAACTGAACTGACACAGTTTTGCATTCATGAGCTGCAGTTCAGTCTTTATACTGCAAGGGTATGGCATAGACGGTGTACCTTTGCCTTCTGTTAGTATCAGTAAAACTTTTTTATCAGTAAAAAAGAAAAACTGTTTTATGCCATTTTAGCCAGAAATGTCTTCCATTCTTTGCTGATCTTAATTTTATAAGTGGCTTGTTTAATTACTGTGATGGTCTGTGGAATCATGTAGAATCATCAACGGTTGTCCAATGCATCTCTTGGGATTGTTTTGCTTCAGAATGCAGAAGAAAGTAGAGGCACTGAAAGCAAGAAAGCTAAACTGGAAGAAAAGCCTTCTTCAGTCCACAAGACTTCCAGTAATAGAGAGTGAGTACCTTTCTGTGATGAAGAAGAAAGAGATTTGTCCAGAAACACACAGCATACAAATGCTTGGTATAAAGGAGTGCATATGAACCAAATTTCCAGTTTCCATCTCACACCCTGTCCCTCACAATTTACAAATTTTCTAATTTGGGGTTTAAAGTTGGGACTTGTTAAATGGAAAATCAAGAGTAAAGTGAATACCTGGTAATAGCAGTGTTTAATATGCTGCCCCTTGAGGCACCTCCATCACACCTTTAATATTTGGGAGTTTTTAAAAATAGAATTTGATGAATAGATTATAGGAGAATATTTGGTCAGGAAGTAATTCTTTGGAAAATAGCAATTATTGTCTATAGTTCATTGTTTTTAGATGGTAATAGTGCAATTACTTACTGTTTTACAGGTATATATATTTGCTCAACTCTTGTTTCTTTCACTTTGGTTATAGAAGATCAAGCTTCACAGTAAATGAAATTGTCTAGGAGTGCATGTGTAGCATTACACACAAATATGTAAGAAATGTACATAAATAAAAGAGGTGCAACAAAGTGTGACATAAGTTTTCTTGGAGGCAAAATTGTAGCCAAACTCTTTAGAATACCCGAGAGGGCCAGTGAGCTGTATCTTGGATCCTGAAGATAGCAAGTGGGAAAAAGCTTGTAGAAGGGAAGATTTATGCCTGCCTTCTGCAATCCCCCAGTGTATTTCTGGATGGGCAAGAGATGATTCTGGAAAACTTGAGGTAGCTTCAGGGAAATAATGGCCCAAATTGTGTAGAGGCATTTTGCTTTCCATTGTGTTACCAGAGATTAATTTAATGCTTTTAGATCTGGCACCCTTTGTTCAATATGCATCACTATTCTCCTTTTCATGTTGAAATGTAATACGGAGGGTGAGTCAAAAATTATCCTCACTCCGGTTATATTAAATCATCTTTTGGCCACACTGTCTTATCAGTGCTTTCCGTTCAAGGCTGCTGTCTCCCCAGTCACTGTTGTGCTGGTGTGAACATGTTGCGTCAATTCATTTGTAACAGCAGTGTGAGCAAAGATGGATGCCCCACTTGTGATTTGCATGAGAGCAGCATGCAGTGATTCGTTTTTTTGTGGTCTGAGGGTGTACCTGGTGCTGTTATTTATCAAAGGCTTTATCACAAAGAAGAATGTATGACTAGATAGAGAAGTTCAAGGAAGGTCGCACAAGTGTTAGCCATCAAGAAGGAGCATGTCTGCACACTCCTGCCCACATGGTCAACACTATGCAAAAACTTCATTTTGAGGTGTTAAAATATCCTCCTTATAGTCTTGATCTTACTCCATCAGACTTTCACCTGTTTGGTCCCCTGAAAGCAGCCCTGTGAGGACAAAGATTCACTTCTGATGACGAAGTGAAGAGAGCAGTGCATTTGTGGCTCACAGCTCAGGCTAAAACATTTTTTTAATGAGGGAATATGAAAGCTTCACAAGTAGACAGTATATTGAAAAGCAAGGAGATTCTGTCAAAAAATGACGTATTTGTCTTTTCTAAAAGTTAATTAAAATAAAATATGCAGCCAGAGTGTGGATAATTGTTGACTCACCCTGGTTTAGTGAAGTCAGCTATCCAGTTTGCTGTTGGTGAAACAGAGGATTTAAAATTTTCCTTTACATAAGCTTATGACTGCAATTAACTTGTATTTTTGTTGGGCAGGTCATCAAAGCAAAGTGCTGTTAAAGAGAAAGATCTTCTCCCATCTCCAGCCACAACTCCAGTTGTCCAGAAAGATTCAAAACAAGAGCATGGGTCTCGGAAGAGAACCATCAGTCAGTCTTCTTCTTTGAAATCAAGTACTAACAGTAATAAGGAGAGTAGCAGCAGTAAGAGTAGCTCATCTAAACAAAAGAAGACTGAAGGGAAGACATCAAGTAATATTAAAGAAGTTAAGGTAAGAGGGTTATACTTAAGTCATGATTTCCCCTTGTTTTTTCTTAGTCTTTTGTATATCATTCCTTTACTGTGAAACCAAACATGCAAGTCTAGTTCAGAAGAATTGCTCATGAGCAGGATAAAACAAAGGAACAGCTCCCCACTAATTAGCCTCACCTCTGATGCTGCACATGTTCTTTCCTGGTCTCCTGATGTGGATATATGCATAGCAAGTGTCTGCAAGAAGGAAGCCTTCACACAAATCATCCATGTGACCTGAAATCCTGTGCCATCAGGGTACCTGATCATGTGGATCCCTCCACATGTACAGTGGTACAAAACCATCATCCGTGCAAATGTTTATGCTATGTATGCAGGTGTTCAGGTGGGTCTTGGCAACCTGGCTTGTATAGTGTCACAGCCAAGCTTGCCAATGTGGCCCTCTTTATGTGTTGATTCTTTTGCATATGCTGTATTTTCAATGGTCTTTGATTTCTCTGCTTTAATTGAGTTGAATTGTGAGTTATTTGCTTTGAAAGAAGCCTGTTAATTAACTCTTTGGGAAGATGAGCACAGTTTTAAGTAGACCACTGAGTTTTCATGTTAGGCTGTAGTAGCTCTCCAAAGTCAAAGCTAGTAGAGGTCAAATGGTTACTCTCAACTGCAGAAGTTTTCTGTAAATAAATGGGCAGCCTTTAATTAATAGGGAAGTATTAACAATACATGGACAGGTAAGTAAAACTAAAATTACTTATCCTTGAAGCCCAGCTGTGGACAATTGTAGAAACTAGGGCAATGGGAGGATTTTGCAAAGTAAACAAATAGCTAAATACTTAACCAAGGAATGCAGCTGCAGCTTCTCAAAGTCTTAGATTTTATGAGCCAAGTAAAGTTGGCTTAAGCAGTGCCTTTACTGGGGGAAGTTCCAAAGAATTTGTACATGTGGCACAGCTTGTTTTCAATAGATTTTTTGGCACTCTTCTTTCTCAGTGATGAGTCATGTCTGGACCAATTTTTAATTAGAATAATTAGTATCCCCTCAGAGTTCTTCTGGATTTTAATCCTCCTAGCAAGCGTAGTCTTGCCATGTTCTATTAAACCATATGTGTAATGAACTAAGCTTCAGTATTGAAATACCTACTACTAGTGGTCGGTGAGTTAGAATATGGTTTATCTCTTTTGCAAAGCCCTCAACCCTCAGATGAAACACCCTTAAAATATGAAGCATGAATGAAAGAAAATGAACATTGACTAGAAAGAAGTTGGCAAATGACACCATGGTATTAGTCTGCCTGTTGGTTCATGTATTATATTTTAGATGTCTGGAGAAAGGTTGGAAGGGAAGGAAGGAATAGTGATAAATAGGGAGAACTTTTGGGAGAAGTAAGGGTAGTGACCATATGAAAAGCTTGGTGTGCCTATCTTAGATTTTAGAACTTTGACTACTCTGGATCTTGTAGATTATTTTGGGAAAAATACTGCTCTGAACCTGAAGATAAAAATGTCTTTAGTTTGCTGTTCTGTTGCATAACAGCCATATTCAAACTCTGCTCAGGCATCTGGCTGTAATTTGATCTTCTCTGCATAGTTCTACTGCAGCATAGGTTGGAACAGCACTGAGGATGGAAAACAAACAAAGCTTTGAGTATTAAGACATTCAAAATAAATTGCTACCCAACAGTATGCAAACTGTAACATTTGGTTCCTAGTTAAATATTTCCCTCACTTGCTTTTTGCATTAGTTGGTATCAGTATGGCAACAGCTGTGTGGAGCTGTATGTGTGGTAACCATGAATAATAGCATGTATCTGGGTTGCATTTAGCCAGCCTAAACACAGCAAGCTAAGTACAAGCTGTGAGCAGATATTTGCCAAAAATTAATGTTTTAACTAATTGTGGTTTGTCTCCTTTCAAGGAAAAGGGTTTAAATATTTCTTCAAACTGCCCTTCTGTGTCATCTACAACTGCAGAGAACTCAAAATCCCGGAGAGCAAAACTAATATTTGATGACAGGTGAGAACATAGAAGCCAGACAAGATAGCCTATGTGATGAAAATAATATATGCTAGCATTTGTATGTAATCCATTTTAGGTGTGTGTTATGTTTACTTTTTCTACCACCAAACCCACTTTACAGCCTAAAGGCTACAGTTACATCCACCAGATCTTTATCCAAGAACTGCTTACACATAACCATGGCAACATGGTGTTACAATTACAGTCTTCTGAATTCTCATCCCTTTAAGATTGTTAAACTTCTTCTATCCCAATCTTGCAATTGCAGTCTCACAATCTGATCCACACCCATTACTCTATAAAGCAAAGTGCAAATATACTTTGCATTGAAATTGCACTCAGTTAATATAGTAAGTTTGGAACCTTAGACCCATGCTAATGCTTTGCATAGCCAGGGGCACAGAGAATCTGATACTGTGCTCCCAGGCAATCCTTATCCCCTTGCTCTAGTACTCTGCTGCTTTCACTTAGAGATTACTCCCAATGTGTGAGTAACATTATATTGTACCAGGGCAGGACAGATGAGCAAAGAGCACTGCTATGGTGGGAAGCTGCTTTTTTTCCTTCAGGGTTAGAGAAAGAATAGAGCCATCCTTGTCTCCTTGCTGCGTATCTTAAATGCTACCAGAGTAACATAGCGCTTGAAGTACCCGGACACAGCTGTACAATGCAGAATCCCGTAGCAAGTGTTTTTACGCTTTTGGTGACCACTGAAGTAGAGCTGCCCACCTGTGCCTTATTGGGTCTTAGGTTGCTACAGTCATTCTCTACTTGCTCCCCACCTAACACAATAGAAACATAAAGAAATGGGAAGTGCATCAATGAATTAGAAAATTGTTCTAAAGACTGCTTATCCACCTCATAGTTTTGGTTTTATGTTGCAGGACTTACTCAGCAGATCACTACTTGCAAGAAGCAAAAAAGTTAAAGCATAATGCTGATGCATTGGTAAGGAAAGCTCTAACCATTTCCTACTAGAGGCATTGTTTGCTGTCCTAAGTTGGCATGAGTCTTTTGGCATGATTCAGTCTGTTTTGCTGAAATACTATATTTCTTTAGTCTGATAGGTTTGAGAAAGCTGTGTACTACCTTGATGCTGTAGTATCATTCATTGAATGTGGGAATGCATTGGAGAAAAATGCTCAGGAATCAAAGTCCCCGTTTCCTATGTATTCCGAAACTGTGGAGTTGATAAAGTAAGTGATACAGAGCAAGCTTCCCATATAATTTTTTGCTGTCTGGAAGCAGTTTTTTTTAACCATCTTGCATCATTTTAAGAACTAAATCTCTTAAAATACATACAGCCCAACCTTTTTTTTTGCTCATCTGCATCTCCTTGCACCCTGTTTCTTGTTATACTTAATATGGCATTATTAAATGCTGAGTGCCTTAGTAAAAATATTGGACAAAAATATTCCCTGTATCCTTTATTATATTCATCCCACCTTTTCTGTTTCCAGAATTCAAGGCAGCTTACACAATTCTCCTCATTTCAGTCCTATCCTCACAACAACCACCTTGTGGGGTAGTTTGGGCTGAGTCTGACTGGCCCAAAATCACCCAGTGAGCTCCATGACTGAGAGGGGACTAGAACCCAGACCAACTGAGTCGTAGCCCTACACTCTTAACCATTACACCACACTGGCTCTCAGCTCTAAGCTCTAACTTATTGTGAAGTGAACTTGTGACATACAACATGGTTGTTTATACATAAAGACAACTCAATGGTTTAAACCTGATGACTTGTTAAGGACATATGGGCACTCTGCCTATATTTGCTTCTGTGCACAATCCACCATTGGCTCCTTTGTAAGTTGTGAAGCATACCCAGACTGTTACGCTTTGGGGCTAAACAATTCTGTGATTATTGCAAGAGCAAATGCTATGGTTTAAGAGCTGAGTTGCTCAGTACCGAAACAACTCAGCATTTCAGGTTTGTATGCCACACTGTACAACCAAGGAAGGAGCCAGTAGTGGGTTATGATGTAAAGTGGAAGAAGCAACACAATGTAGACAGAGTGCCTGCATATCCCCAGTTACTCATTGGTTGACATAATGTGCAAACCACGTCAATGTGTGGCACAATCGTATTTTCATTAAAGGAAACTGAATCTGAACCAGCAATTCTGATGTTTCAGTTACTTTATCTTTTTGGTTGCAGGTACACCATGAAACTGAAGAATTATTCAGCACTGGATGCAACTGCTGCAGACAAAAGGCTAGCAGTGCTGTGGTACATATCTATTGAATTTAATCAAATAAGAATAGCTCAATATACCAATGTAAACTTCCTTTCCGTGCAACAGATAATTAAGATAAAGCATAGCTTACTGTATAGGCCAGTAGAGTCTGCTTTGACCGGTCTGAACCAAATGTCTATCCTATCCCTGCTATCTGAGTTTGTTTTAAGTGTCATTGTTGCCAGCGATTAAATTTGGGAACTTCTGAACATGAGGCATGTATTCCACGTGTGGACATGATAATATCTTATACCTGAAATTAGTCACCTTATTCTCCTTCTGGTACTTAGTAGGCTGAGATTAATTCTACAAAGCTGAAGCTATACCAGCCATTATTTTCTAAGAACAAAGTGAACATACTTGAAAGGACTATCTTTTTGATACTTGAACTTTGGGAACAGTTAATTGAGCATCTCTTTAATCTTTGTTGAAATTAAGTGTTATTTTTATTGGCTATTTTAGAATCCATTAGAAGTGTGAATTGCAGATTTTCCAGACATGTAGCTGTCACTGCTTGAACTGTTACTGACAAGCTTCTAAAGTTGATAGCTTTATTTCTTTTACTAGTCTCAGATGTCAATCCCTGTTATACTTAAGACTTTTCAAGCTGAAGAAAGAGAGTGCATTGAAGTACTCCAAGACACTGACCGAACATCTAAAGGTAAATTATTTCAGTATCAGGGTTTTTGTAGGACATTACCTTGAATTGTAGTCTGAAGGACCATTCATCTCTTCAGTTTAATTGATATCAAGATGTACTAGATGTTAATAGATTTAAATAGTTCTGCAAAAGAAAAGTTGTTACTGCAAATTGTCCAGAAACTTTTCCAGAAGAACCATATCCCACTTAAATTCATTCCAGCTAGCTCAAAGTCTGTCCAGATTTTTAAAAAAGGAATAGAATACATTTCTTTTTCTTCAGTAGCTACTTGTTTGTTCTTAACTTTTTTTTAAACCAGAAGTACCTAGCACTAGTATTTCTCTGTTTTATGTAATTCCTTCCCTGCAGTCCTGTAGTGAATTATTGCTGTCATTACATTGGTTTGGATTTACTATTTCTGTATTAAACTATTAAATATATACAGGATATTCTTGTTGGCACCTAATAAGCCTTTCCTCACTTAAATTGTACTTCGGCAAGGAATTTTTTCTTCCATTTTATCCACATATATAATGTAGTCTAAAGTTTGGGTTTTGTCTAAACTAATGGATTGCATTAAACAGCATAGTTCAGTTATTGTGGGTTGTCAGTAACTTTCCATTTTATCCAGTCAGTAATTAAAATATGATTGGAATTGTGCTTTTCATAAATATGTAAATCGCTGCACTGCCCCCTTATACTAGAGGAGATAATTGTGAATTTCATGTGTTGATCACACACACCTTTTTCCATTACAGATAGTTAAGACCATTTTAAATAAACAGGCCCACCTCATTTATTTCCTGTCCTCTGATCTCCTTGGTCAGGGTGGACAGCTTGTGTCCTTCTAGATACTTTGGCTGGCAACTCTCAGGATCAGTTGCCATTGAGATGCTGAGAATTGTAGGCCAAACTATCTGGAGGGCCATAAATTGCCTATCTAGGTGAAAGGTAATTCAGTAATCTGGGACAACACATTTCTTCCTACATGATCAATCTGCCTTACATTCAAATCTCATACCAGCATACTAGAAAGTGTACAAAAATCCTCATTTCAGTATTTCTTGATATTTCCTCCACTCAATTATAGAGACCCTATAATAGAGACCCTATAGAAATTGTCATAGTCTAATTTTAATCTTGCCTTGATTCAACTTTGGTCCCTTTTCAAACTCTCATTATTGCTGTGCTTTTTTCAAAATTGCTGCTACAACCACATTGTGACATTATTGTACTTTTCAATTTTTGTTGTACATTTATAATATACATTTACTAGCATTTTCCATTCATTCTTTTTCTAAACAGAATTCTTATAACAATTCTCAAGCACCGTCACCTGGTATGGGAAGGTAAGAATCTATTCAGTAAGTCATTGTAGCTTTCTTGTATGAGAGCATGATTTATGGGATGATAATCCAGATTACCTGTATTAAGAGCACTGGAGGAGAATGGCTGAATGTTCTCTCACATTCCTCCTTTTCTTCAAGAGTCTGGGGAGGGTTGTATTCTAAGAATTCAGACATGATCTGAGTTTGAAGGGATTTTCTTCTTCCCTTTGATTTTGTTTTAATTTGATTTTAAGGGGGGAGGCTTCCCCCCCCTTCCCTCATGTAATTCAGAAACAAATTATTCAGCTAGTCCCCCACACATTAAAAAGTTAAGAGGATTATTTAACTTGAAAGATTATATTTTATACTTGGACAGTAACATCACTGGTAGCGCATACTGAAGTCATTTATGTAACAGCTTGCACTGTTGGCACTTGGCTTAGTAGCAAAGCGATAATGTATTAGTTAGAATAGTCGTGCATGTCTTGAGCAGGAAGATTTGGTGCCATTTGCCTACGGTCATAGGGATACAAAGGATGCTATATAAATGCTCAACCCCACATACAGCATCATGGACTCACCATTTCATTTATGCTGAATTGGGCCCATACCTGCACTGACAACAGCTTTAATAGTTCAGATAGTCCTTATATACTTATTCTGCAATTCATTGAGGATTATGGGCATCCTATGAAAGATGGAAGGAATGCAGAGGCACAGGTTGCCTTTGTGTTCCCTTCTGTCCCCTAAAATACTTTGACACATCTAAATGTTTTCCGCTTGCTTATGAAAAGGAGGGGCTGAGACAGTGCCAGGGATCCCATGCATCCCAGAAGAGCCTTGCTCCTCCCCTCCATGCCCAGTAGAACCCTCCCTGGGAACCAGCATAGAAAGAACTGTACCAGCTGTGAGAGTGAAGCAAGGCCATTTTGAATTCAGAGCTCCAGTTGAGCTGGAGCTCCAAATTTTCCTTTGGTTGGCCAGACAGTGTTCTAGCAGGAATAGAATTATACCCTTCATATCAGAATCCAGTTTCCACCTTCTGTAGCTACATCTGTAGCTTTATTTTATATCTTGCCTTAATGCAAATGGTAACAAATGCATATCCTCTTTTTAATTATTAGCAAACCTGTCAGCATGCCATCTCCAGTCTCTCCAAAGTTGTCTCCAGGGAATTCAGGAAATTACTCTTCAGGGTCAACTATCCCTTCAGGGAGCACTTCTTCAGTAACTATTCCACAGAGGATACACCAGATGGCAGCCAGCTACGTCCAGGTTACTTCCAATTTTCTGTATGCCACTGAAATTTGGGACCAAGCAGATCAGCTTGCCAGAGAGCAAAAGGGTAAGATGGTGCTGTATTTATTTACAGTCAAATCTGTTAAATTATGTCAGGTTAATAGGTACCCATTTCTATGAACATGCAAGACATTGGTGCTGCTGATTTACTTATTTAGGAAAACATTTGCATTTTTCTTCTACCTGCTTTAGTTTCTTTTACCTGCTATTACCAGTTAGTTGGATTATGACACACTTTCCTATTTTCTGTATTTCTATATTTGCCAGGGAAAAGAGGTTTTAATCAATCTGAATTAAGAGTGGACTTGCTTGGTTTAACCCTGAAAATATTGTACCATCCAAAGCATTTTCCTCTTCAAACAGTTGTTGATTGCCAACTGAATAGGTTAGGCTTTACTTAGACTGTGGGTGCAATCTTACTTATTTTATTTAATTTGTATGCCGCCCCGTTAGCCATAGGTACTCTGGGCAGCTCACAACATAAAGAACAACCTGTAACATCAATTAAAAACAGTGCAATTCATTAAAATAATCACAAAATCAGTCAGTAATAATCAATTCAAAATAAATAATTTATATTAAAATAGCCAAATGAGGTAAAAATTTTCATACTAGAAGTTTGTCTGGCATTAAAAATAAAGGGACAGCAGCAATATAACTGATTAAAACCATTAAACCAAACAGAACAGTTTACACACTAAAATAATAACGAAAAAGAGAGGTTTTTAACTGGCACCTAAAAGAATACAGAATTGACACCAGCCAAATCTTGAATGGGAGTGTTCCACAAATGGGGTGGTATTACAAAGAAGGCCCCCTTCAGTGCCATCTCCCATCTCCCCTCTTGCTTCATTGCTCCATGAGGAATTCGGAGAAGGGTCTCCAGTGATGACCTCAGTAATCAGGTTGATATATATAGAGATAGGCAGATACCCTGACCCCAAGCCATTTAGGGCTTTATATGTTAACGTATTTATGGGTCCAGACAACAATGGCAGCCGGTGTAGCCAGCAAAGGACAGGAGTGATGTGTTCATGAACACCCATCCTGGACAGCAGGTGCACTGCCTGATTTTGAACAAATTGCAATGTCTGAACCATTTCCAAGGGCAGCTCCATGTAAAGTGCATTGCAGTAATCCAGGCCCAAGGTTACCAGTGCGTGTATGACTGGCAAGACTGCACTCATCCAAGGAGGGTCAAAGCTGATATATACCAGCTAAAACTGGTTAAAAGCACTCCTGAATCCCGAGTGCACCTGAGCAACAAGTGACCACTCAGGATTCAGCAGCACTCCAAGATTGCGAACCTTGTTCTTTAGAAGAAGTGCAATCCCATCCAGGAGAGGTTGAAAATTCCCCAGTTGGACAGATGGTCTCCCTACCAACATTACTGTCTTAATCTGGATTGGGCTTCAGTTTACTGGTCAACATCCAGTCTATTACCAAGCCCAAGCACTGGTCAAGAACAGAGGCTACTTTATTTGGATTTGATGAGAATGAGAGGTAGAGCTGAGTGTCATCAGCGTACTGATGGCACTTCAGCCCATACCTCCTGATGACCTCTCTCAGCAGTTTCATGTAGATGTTAAAAAGCATGGGGGACAAAATGGTGTCCTGTGGGTCTCATGGCACAGAGCAAAGGTCCCTCAACACCACCATCTGGAGATGGTCGGCTGGATAGGAGCACAGCTACTGACTTCCAACCCAGCCATTCTCTCCAAAAGGATACCATGGTTGATGATATTGAAAACCACTGACAGAATTTAGGGAAAGAAAGAAAAACTATGTGGGCCTTAAAGTTCAGGGTAGGGATGGCTTTGACCTGGGCCCTATTGCCATGAGCAAAATAAGTAGACTAAAATGTAGACAATGCGTAAGGAATTTTATGCAAACATAGTTTCCTGACTTTAACAGATTTTAAAAAGATTTAAATACCCCATATAGAAATGCTAGAACAAAACAAACAGCATTCTCAGCAATGAAATACAGGTCCAGGCCCTTCTATAAAAAGTAAGTACATGCACAGAAAACTCTAGCAGTTGTTCTCAGAGAGACAGAAAGTTACGTGCCATCCCACATTAGGTGCTTTCTGAAAGATTAAAAGTCCTGGTATTCTTCAGTTTCACATGGCATTTCCTGTGTGCCACAGAAGGAGTGTGAATGCAGGAGGTGGAGACAAGCATTACAATACTCCAGGAACATTGTGATCTCAGGAACACTGAGCCCGTGCGGCTTGATAGAATTTATAGGCCTAAGAAAATATGTGGGTAAATGAGCCAGACATTGAATCTTAAGAGTGTGTAAAACATTCAGTCCTAGCTCCCAAAGACAGGGAACCATATCTGAAGGACACTCATGGCTCTTACATCATATGTGTATATGCCATAGCTGTGTATAAATATAAATCTAACAACCAAGAATATAAGATCCGTAGGGAGCTCAAGAACAGCCATTAGTTCTTCATTTCTTTTAAATGGTCAAAGGGAGACAGGGCCCGTGTTATAATTTTATACTGTGCCCAAGGAAATAATACTTGGATGCGGCTTCTGGGTTAGAATTCTGCCTTGATTTAACTTGCTTGCCTAAATTATGAAATTTGGGGGTTTAACTGTGTTGCTTATATGCTTTGGGGGTTTGGGTTGAAATTAAATATTATAGGTTACTTTTTGGAAAGCTGCTTGTAAATGTGAACCTTCATTTTTGGCTGGCTTTTTTATTGAAGAAATAGTATTGCATGAGTTAGGAATGCTGTCTAGAACACTGTCTCATGTGTTTTCTTGTCCATGAGTTTAGAGATGACCTAGTACAGTGCTACCCAAGAGTGATGGAAAGGCACACATGCTACTTTTAAAGAAATGAAGTAGAGAGCCAAAGATGTGAACTGCCCAGACTTCTTTGGCTATGGGGGAAGAATAAAAATGAAATTAATATTAATAACATAATTTCCATTTAATTAAACTGTAAAGCTCTAATATAAATGTTCATCTATTGCAGCATGTGGTCTTTGAATATGTTTAAGCAAAACTCTTTAAATAAGCTAATTCAGTTATAATTGAGGCATTGCTGTTTCTTTGGGTTACAGTTTAACACAAAATTAGCATTGCCTGCAGAAAAATAGTACTTGAATGCTGATTCTTCAGTTTCATCTTGGGAGATGTCTTGTGGAAAGGTTATTTCAATTTGCTCATTTCTTCTTTTCTGTAGAATTCTTTACTGAATTGGATAAAGTGATGGGCCCTCTTATCTTTAATGCAAGTGTCATGACAGACCTAGTACGTTACACCAGACAGGGACTGCATTGGTTGCGTTTGGATGCCAAGTGATAACTGGACTGAAGAAACCTAAAGCATAGAAGATACTTTTCTTGCTGCCTCTGATTTTTTTCAACACTGTGTCATAAAAATAAGGAAGACTGCCATAATGCATTGCTTAGTGAAAGCTAAAATTAAGGAATGTTTTCATGTGTCTCCCAGCATCATGTATGTGAGAACTTCCAAACCATCATGTTAATGAACTTTTCTCAGTTGTCCCATTTTAAAGATATTTAAAAATAGTTTAATCTCTGCATCATTTTAATATATGATGGATTCATTGCGCTGCAATTGGATTGGAATTCTAGTAACTATGCCTAACAAATCTCTTTTAAAACTTATTTATTTTAATTTGTTTTTGAAAGGTCTATTTTGGACGCTGTTAAGAGTTAGCTCTTTTTCCTATAAATTTTACCCAATCAAGTACCTAGTGAAGATTAAATGTAGACACTTTATTTAAGTATTTTGTGAGCTTTGTTATTCTGTAATGTCTTGTGGTGGTAGAGCTTGTAAGAGAAAGTCAGGGTTGATAGATTCTAAACTGTAGGGAGAAATTTTCATGAATATTTCAGTCAACCCCTAAATGACAGCCACTGTTTTACTATTGTACTAAGTTGCAAGGATACTCTTCTATATATTAAGCCATTGTATTTAAGTGAAATATGAAAAGATCCATATGGAAAATAGCTTCAGAACAAATGTCTTAACACTAATAATCACAGAACATTACAAGAAGTTGCATTTAATGCAGTATTAAAGTGATATGGGTCACAAAGAGCTTCAGTCTCGAAGGACAGACTAGGAATGGTGTGAAATGGACAATCTTGTGCTTTGGTGCAGCTTCTTCATTTCCTTGCTTTTTGTTGTTTGAAGCTACTAACTTTAACTCCTCAGTGAAACTGATGTGCTTAATCAGAAAATATGAGTAGTGACTAGCATCTGTGTTTTCTTTCAGACAGGATTACTCAGTGGGCAACATAGGGTAGAGTGTAGAGCTCTGTTTACAGGAACATTTTAAACCGTTCTGTCCAGCTAATTTGAAATCTTGCTTTTACACCATTTTAATTGCACCATGTTAAATGTTTGTGATGGGAGCAGAATGTTTAATTTTCATGGAAATTACTGTGATCAGCAAGAATCATGCATGGAATTCTTAATTCATTGCTTTAAGGTTACTAACCAAAGTACCTTTCCATTGAAGGTGCTTATCTGACTAAAAGAATATTGCTTAGCATCCCTATCATGTCTGGTGTGCCTTATGCCTTTTTAGATGAAGATTTTGAATACTGTTTACAAGAGGTTTTACACATAGGACCTGGTATACTGTATCCAGTTGATCTCCTGCAGTACTTTGGTAAAATTTGACTTCCTTTTCCTAATACTAGTGGCTGTCATTTGTTGACAATACACATTAGTTGTCTTCTTAGAGTCAAACTCTGAACCCCTTCAGTGGGATTGTGGAATGCTGCTTTGCCTGCCCTTGTCTCTGAACCCTGCCCCAGATGTGATCATGCATGTCCAAGGAAATGATTGCACTAAATTTATGTCTAGCTGTATAGCTATGTGCCAAAATGATGGCGAGCTTTGAAAGAAGGAATAGAATGCTACATTAAGGAGTACTGCAGTGTGTCCTTGGGACACTGAGAATTGAGTAGCTTCATAAATTATAGTAATTTCACTAAACTATAGCTTGCATATTCATAGAGCCTTGCATCCTGATGTTTTATACTCCTTAGGGATGCGTGAGTTCATTCCCTAATACTTTGGATCAAATCAATTGAAATTACTACCCTTTGGTTCTACATTCAAAATCAGTGATATTTACTATTGCACTCTACCCCACAACAGTACTGAGTGGAAGAAAATAGGTAGTTACATCTCTACATACATAGGAAGAAAATAGGTAGCTACATCTCTGCATACAAAAAAAGGTGTGTTGCTACTTAAGGGATAAAATTATGCATCATAGGAAGTTTTAATATGTGCAAGTGAAATGATTAAACAATGATGATCAAATGCAGTGACTGTATTACATTGCTACATATTCATGTTTTTTCATGTTGCTGTTAGGGCCAGCATGAGCAGCTGCCATGTGGAACCTTCTTTAGTTTGCACCCTTGGCGAGCAGTTCATTATGCACACAGATTAAGATAGTTCCAGATTATTTTTTTAAAGAAAAATTGTTTATAACAGACTTCCATGATACATCTCATATAAGTTGGTAGTATAGAGGTCTCCATCATGAGACCCAATTTTAAACAGGGCACTTTGCCACGGTCCCAAGAGGAACAACAGACTCCAGCTTAGATCCAGGAGGTAGTTTTCCGAACCTTAACATTCAGAAGTGCCTGGCACACTTACCACACTGAAGCCTCTATGCTTTCAGGAGCTAAATTGCAAGCTCACTTGCTGTGTAGCATCACTGAGGAAGCTTTTGTACCCAATTAACATGGACTGCCAATTGGAAAATATCTCTCTTTTAAAAAGAACATGGTTTTAAAAACTATAATATTCTATATCAGATTGGAGTTTTGAAAAGCTTCTTCAGATTAATCCTATCCTGAGCATTTGTATATGTAATAATTTATCAAGACCTCTCTAGTTTTAAAGGTCGACCTAAGGTAGTAGGTGTTTTCTGTTGTATTATGTGCCTCCAAGAGGGGTGTTCTGTATGCCCTTAATAAATGAGGAGTACCCTTCCTTCCCTAGGATAAACTATCAAAATTCCAACCAGCTAAATTGGACTCGCCAAATTTCATAAAACCATCTAACTTCAAATTCCTTTGTCTCTAAAGCGCATGAATAATTTCCCAAGATTAATTGTAAAACAAACATGTCATATGATTCTTTTCTGAAAAGCAAAAATAAGTTACTATCCTGAAGCTGCCCTTAAGAAGCATTGGGTTGGACTTAAATCAGACTAACTGCTCCCATTGATTTAATTAGAACTAAAGCATGATTAGCTTAGTCTGGATCCCACCTATTATAAGTACAGGCAGTCCTTAGGTTACAAATGAAGCCATGAAGCCTATTAATTTAAAAGGCTTACTGCATAAAAATATCATCATAGAAAGAGAGGAAGCAGAAGGGGAGAAGGAAGGCTTCCAAAGCATCACCATAGATAGAGAGGAAGGGAAAGGGCAGAGAGGGAGGCCTCCAAAGCAGGCTTTCCTGTCCTGCCCATCTGGAGAGGGAAATCTCACCAGCATTTCCTTGCTGCAAAGACGAGGCACTGGGCAAGGGTTGGGGTGGGGGGACTAGAGATATTTGCAGTTTTTCCACTCTTATGGGAGTTCTGAGTTGCTAACCCCTGTGAATGTGGAGGGCCAACTATATGTGATCTGCTTGCATACAAATTTGACTTAGAAGATGAATTTTCATTTTCTCAGGAGCAGAACTCATTTGTAATCCTGGGACTGCCTGTATATCTTGAGTACTAACACAAATAAAATTCTTGTCTTCATTTAAAAGCTCTGGAATAATAGATCCTAAGGGGTTAATGATTGTGGAATAACACATATCAGTGTTGCAGTATATCCCAGTGATAAGCCTTTAAAACCGGCTTAATAGTCAGACTAGATTTGCTCAGGTGTTCAAGTAATTTCTGAACTTTTCTCTCAAGCTTGCAGGTTCATAGGAGAGTAATTCATGAATGGTGGTGAGAGATCCACCACGGGACTCTGGGTGTTTCACCAGACTGCTGGCAGTGGGTGTGTGAAACAGTATAGCCCAAGAAGGTACCTGTGTTTCACTTTATGAGCTAGTGATGAGGTAGAAACCAAGTGGCAGGTTCCAAACTAAGCAGAATTCTAATGGTGGAACCTGTTGATAAAATGTGTAGGGACCACTGACCTTGTACACACATGGCTACTTCATTTTGTACCTTAAATGAACAGTCAGGGTACCAGACTGAGATGGCCCAGCATGTTCAGTTCAAAATGATTTAAATCTCTTGGCTGTAAAGCAGAGCAAATAGCTCTTGACCTTTTGACAGCAGTATGCAATTTGTAATATACGTGTTTCGAATACATATATCTACATAAATATATAGATGAATGAACTCAAGTCTGTCCAAAGTTCGTTAATACTTGTGTTAGATTATAGTGCAGCTGACTATATCAGTATATTTATTGAGTGCTGAGCCATCCTAATTTTGGTGATGGTGATAAATTTTGCATATTATGCAGGAGTGCTATTGGTTTCTTTTAGATTATTGAAGCTTGATTGCTGTGATTTTATACAAAGCAACCCCTGTAGTGTGTTTTAATGATCAGCCACAGCAGGTATGGAGTCGATGCATAGAATTGCTTGCCTAAGGCAAGTAAAACACAGCTGTAGGCAGATTACTATATAGTTTGCCAAATCTGGCAGATAATGGGGAAGACTACCTTTGCTATATATATTAATATTTCCTTGCACTGTAAACTCTGCAGTATTTTTATTAAAGCAGTTTAAGTGGACCTGAGCAAATCAAGTTTGAATACAGTTTACCCATAGGAAGAGTAAGCGACATCCAAACCATATGGTAGAGTCCTGAATGGCAAATATTTCATAAATATTTGGGTCAAGGACAGAATGACTTTAAATTGAGTAGAAATCAGTATTGTGGGAAATGTGGGTTTTCAGTAGCTAAGTTAATGTTGGATATCTTTCAACATCTTATAGCCAAAGCTTGTACAAAGCTGAGCTGTGTTAAGCAATCTCAGCCATTTCCCAAAAGATAGAAATTACAGCTTAACTATACGGTCAAGGAATGATAATTTTCATTCTTTTGGATGGGCACTGGGGTGTTTACAGCATTTTAAAATAGCAGTGATGGGAAGTAGGTTAATAGCAACATTGTCATTGGAATGAGACCATCCTGGAAAACCCAAGCTTGTGTCCAATATGCCTTCCCCCACCTCCACCTCTTGCCAGTTCATTGAGTTTTAGGCGAACTCAGCTGAAGACATTTGAACTGCTGATTCTGCTCCAGCAATTATTAAACAAATCTAATGTTGGCTTTGCTTTTCCATTCCATCTGTAAATGTATTGGCAAAACGTTTGTTTCTGGCAATGTAACTGTGAACAGAACTGATAGTGGCAAATTGGACTCAAAATGTTTCCTTTTACCTAATTTGTAAACCATGTTGGTATTGCAGCCAGCATTTCAAGATGGCTGCATTAAGATCTCTGAGAACTTGGCTTCATGGGCCTCTGCAAGCACAGTTGCTAACATTTGTATCTGGCTCCCCTTTTAAATGGTTTTAAGAAGTTTTGTATATGGAGGATAAAGTGCTTATATATTTATTAAAGATCCTTTATCTTATTTGAAATTATTTGGTAAAGAATGTTTTTTCTTTTCCTTTGGGGGCAAACAGGTGGGGTGGGGTGGGGGTGGGAGGTTATTTTTAATCTTTTAACTTATCAATTAAAACCCTTCTTAAGAATGCCACCTGGTAATGATCATGGCTGGCAGGATGGCTCTCTGTTGTATGCTTTGTACATGACTTGTCCATGTCTTATACATTTTGTTACTTATCAACATATTTAGTCATTTGTTTTCAACCAAAACTAAACCTTAAACAAAACTGTGATTTCCCCCCTCCCTTCCTTTGCAATACATTTGAAATTTCAAAAGGGTACTTTGGGGTTCCAAATTAGGATTTCTAAGTCAGTATGTGCATTTCACGTATGTTAATGGTGAGCAAAGTATTATATACTAACTAGATTTTTTTCCACATCTGTATAGTATATTCTATGTATTTTGTGGTATTGAGATTATAGAAAGTTTAGTGTCTGAAATATGCGTTTAATGTGTATTTTTAAACAAATTTATGGCAATTAAATATTTGGAGAAAAGGGTATCACATTTCAATTTGTAAAGATCTTTTTAACTACTGTGTCATTAAAATGCTTTGTACAATGCAGAACTGTAACTGGAGAAACTAAGTTTAATAAATATCAAATAGATTTTCTGTATTAAACATTATAAGCACTGTGCTTGAATTAATCTATTTGTATGGGGCTTTCTGCAATGGCATTGCACACTGAAATTTATGCTTGAGGATGGGGCGGGGCTGGCATTATGTTGTCATAAATTTCATTTGCCAGTGGGAACTGGGGACACTTGTGTATTTTTTGCTCTATTTTATCTAGGCAATTTGTTTTAAACTCTCACAAAAATTACCTCTGAAGTACATATTATATCAAGCTCATGAATGCATTACCCACTGGATAATGAAAGTTTGAAATCTACAGGTAACAACTGAAAGAAAAGGTAAACATGGGAAGAGCGATGGAATAAATGTGGTACCCAGATTATTATTGATGTGCTTTTTCTGGTTCACTGGACAATTGTGAGTATTCCCAACTCTTTATAAAAACTCATGGAATCAGCACCATGAGTTGTATCTAATGACATTATTTTCCAGTGGAACAGGCATATGCGATAAATCAATTTCCCCCTTCCCCTTTTAGGAGACCCTCTGGGGCAGATCTTCAGGCTACATGTGGGGTGGCCTCAGTGGGGGAAGGGAAAATGCCCAATGTGCACGTGGAAGGCTGCTTACATAATGTTGGATGTAACCCCATATAATTTCTTTAACTGCTGTGGAGAGGGTACTCTTTACTCAAGAGTTCTTTCAGTGTATCTTCCCAGAATATGTCAGTCCTTATTGGTTGCATACAGGACAAATAGCAAAATGTGTTTTGCTTTTACAGAATTTTAATGTCTCTCACAGAAAAAAAATGAAATACAAACAGTATAAAGAGTTAAATCAGGTTAAGCTACTATAGCTTGGCTAAAGGCCCACCTTAGAAAAAGATGGAAAGATATAATTTAAACTGGCCTGTGTTGCTGGCATTTCAAAATGTTAATTGAAAAGCTTGAAGTATTTCCAAGGGATGGTGACAATAAATAAACAGGGAGGAGCATTGGCAAAGGCAACAGCACTATTTTCTTCTTCTTAGGAATCACATCTGTGATGATACTACAGCACAGTGTTTGTTCCTGCAAAAGAAAGGAAGGAAGGAAGAAAGGTAGTGTAAGTTTACTTTTTTAGGCATTTTGGGACTAACCTGTGTACAAATTGATTAAAATACTGTAATTCAATGCAAACTTGCATGTGCTTGTATTACATTATTTGAATTCTATAGTATCTGTTTTCGAAGAAAGAAAGTACCAGTGTTACATTAGTGCTAGTTTAAGTGCATTAGAGAACTACACATCCAAAGTAGAAGATTTTTTCCCTCAATGGTAACTTTGTACGTTTGTAGGGAATAATAAACTAGCAGAAATATTCTAGACATTGGCTCAATGACACCATGCTTTCATGTCTTAATACATTATTTTCATTTTGGACATCCCTATAGTTCTTTATCTGCAGTACATTTCCCAAAATATGTTTGGTCTGTACTATATTGAACCCTTGGATGTTCTGCAGGCAGAACTGGAGAATCCAACATGTTGGGGGTTCTGCAACAGTGGTACTAAATGGTCAATGTTACCATTTTTCAGATATTAAAAATGAAAAGTGTTCACCATTCTGACAGCTGTGCTAATCAAACGATTTATAAAAGCCTTAAATTAATAAATTAACATTAAATAGAAAATATTTCATGAGACATGCAAAGTTGGCAATTCTTGTCATTATGGATTTTTGCTCCCACTAATTTTGTAGGCTTCGGGAGACAGTACTTCTTTCTAATTAAGATGACCAGATTATTATTGAAGTAATCATAATGACAGAACCCTTGGTTGTCCCCGTTTGCATTAAATTCATGTCTTTTATTCAAAGACTGAGAAGAAAATACCTGCATAGTCTTGTGGAGCATTCACTGTTATCCCTGCATGATGCTCCAATTGGTCTTGAGATCCCTCTCCAGAAAGGTGTCATTCTCTTCTGCCTCATTACCTGAGAGCTTTGTGGATACAGTGAGGCACAGTGTATCTGAAACATAATTACAATGTGGTTGTTATATATGACATTCAGCCTTCAACTGCTCAAAAGTCCTCTTCAGATTTGACAAACCACACCAGCATTTCTGTGTGGAAAGAACTGATGCCCATTGTTTCTATGTAGTTATTCCCTAAACTAGTGATAATTTTAAAAAAATAAAAATTTGCAAGTGCAGAAATGTACATCTGACCTTATTCTTCTGTTTTTTTAATGTGTTGCCCACCTATCTACCAAGAAAAAGACCTTTATGCAAGTGGTGTCTCTCTGCAGTGTTTTTTCTTCCATGCAAAACAGAAAAACAAATCAGTGTTATACTTGGGAGCCCTGTCCAGAAAAGGCAATGACCTTCAATGGTACATTCCACGTGAGGAAAGATCCAGCAAAATAAAAACACTTGCTCCAAACGTACATATGGTATAATGATGGACATTTTGCTAGCAACCACTAATATGGGATCACTATGTTTTTTTTTACTTTTGTGCTCGTTTGGGGATTAGAGAAACTGCTGTGGACACCACCACAAAATGCCCAACCAGTGGGTCATTGCTCTTGACATACAGCTATCACACTTCGGGCTCTTAGTCTGCCTCCTACTCTGCAAAAACTTTTGCTTCATGTCTAAGAAATACTGCAGCATCTCTTTAATATGGGATTATCTAATTTGGCTAATTGTTGGCAGTCCAATACAGCTAATACTTTCAAATATATGATTTGACAATGCCCTGTAGTTGCTACTTTGGGGGATAGATGTAATTTCACAGATACAATTTGTACTGGAGCAGTGAAATACTCATTACCTGCTTCATGAGAATTAGCAAATGGTCAGCATAGATGGATTCTCTGCAGCCATATGACAGCTATAAAACTGTTGCTACAACACTGAAAGGATAAACACCTCCCATAATACAATTAACTGACAATCGTCAAATGATTTTGATGCTTTTATTTGAATATTTAGTCCAGTTGATCGAAGCCTGTGTATAATTGCTAGGAAGTGATATGCATGTCATACTAATAAATACATGTATATTTAAAAATCAGGAGAAAATTAGAATCTTTATAAAAACAATTTGGGGGCTGCATGCTCTATTTTGGGGATGCCTTTGCACTAACAGTCATGTTTGCATGGTGCTGGCTAACAGCACTGGTGGTCTCTAGTTACTGACAGATATAAACGTGAGATATTCTTGAAATAAGTGTTGAAATGTGGTAAATGTCATAAATAACTAAACTAGTATGTTCCTGAATTTTTGGAATTCAAATGCAAGAAGTGTTCTTACCTGAAATAGCAGGCCTGAACAAATGAAGATTATTGTCGCAACCTGCAAACTCTGCATCCTCCTTGGATAGCTTTCTCCACGTCACTGTTTCCCAAGTGGGGCTAGAAGCCTGTGGATGTGTTTGCCAGGCTTTTCTGCTTCGTCTTTTATAGATGTAATTCCTCATTGCATCAGCTGCCGGCTTATTAAAAAGGCAAAGATCACATTAGAGACAACGATTTAATAAGTTAATGCCTAAGTGATAGTCCAAAGTTTTCCCTCTAGGCTAAATATATTTGCTTTTCAAGCATTTGTACTTTGGTCAGTGTATCAAACAGGCCAACTGTTCTTTTTTTAAAACTTACATTTCACTAGTTACACCATGTACCTACAAAAGGGTCAAAGGCCAGGGCAGAAAAGAGAGAACTGATCTATGCTCGTCCACCGTGTTCTTGGGCAGAATTAAATGAGAACTACTAGTAGTTTAATCCTGAGAAATGTGGATCTACTGAGTGGGGTCTCTGTGCAGTCATTTGCTTAAAAAAGTACACATTCAGCATGTCTATTCAGGAAACATGTGCAAGTAAAGTACAAAATGTCAAAACAGGTATGTACACATGCACAAAAATCTGGATATGGTCCAAGATTGTCTTTTCTGTGAAATGATGAATGGTATAGGTCAGTGATGGTGAACCTTTTAGAGACCGAGTGCCCAAACTGCAACCCAAAACCCACTTATCGCAAAGGGCCAACACTGCAATAAAACTTGAAAACAGCCAGTCCAAGCAAATGTATGTATGTATATATCCTGGGCAGCACACTGACCAGCCATGTGAAAGCTTGGATGAGTGGCGGCTCATGTGTCGCGGCTTGTGACATCATTGCCTGGCACCACTACTCCATTCAAAGCATGTGCATGGCCCCTATGTGCACTGTTATCTGATGCGCATGCCATGGGTTCGCCACCACTGGTATGGGTTAACTATTAGTCTTGTGAATACAATGTAGCATTCCACATTGACTCTGTTCTGCAAAATGCTAGACAATCAACACATTTTTTTCCTCCAGTAAGCTGAAAGTAATATATAATGCACTCTAATTGTTATAATTCTTTTGTGCAGGAAGTTGGGTTAAGACCATCACCCAAGGCCACTTTCTGAGTTTTCTGGCTTAATAGAAACTTGAATTTGGGTTTTCCCAGACCAAGTTCAACTGCCATTCTACCACACTTAAAATAGCTTGGATCCAAAAGTGCTCTTGCATACATAGGATATGCTTCCACTTGGGCAAACTGAGCCCCTTTTTTTGTTTGTTTCGGCCAGTCCTGCTACAGTCCTGCTACACGGCAGCTGCTACAATGAACTCCACAGTGTTGAGGTTGTTCAAGTGTAATTTTAAAATATATGTTATGTAAGTTTCCCACCTCCAGCTCAGATTGTCATACAGACAGACATGAGGCTCTACTACAGATATGTCATTGGATAGCTGCTGCAAAAATAAGTATTATTAGGAGAGTAAGCAGAGGCATTTGTTAGGATTAAGCTTCATGCTCTCTGCCTATCTCTCACCTCCAAAACAGCTCGACACATGCTCCAGAATCACGTGTGTTACCCCTTGTCCAGTTGACTGGAAATGTTTCTCATGTTCCAAGTGTTTAAAGGTTTCATTTCATCTCTGAAAAACAAATGAATCCCACAGTGATATCTTTCTCTGAATCCATCACTGTGCTCACTGTTTAATGTGTTCTGTTCAAATATTAGTTCTAAGTATAGTTATTAATTAAATCTCTGTCTAAATAGAAAGTGTACTTCATTTTGGAAAACAGGGCTCCCAAGTGTAATAGCTAGCTAAAAATGTGCCAACAGAGAGGACACAGCAAAGCTTTATGTGGTTCAATCTTCAAAACTTTTCATCTGAATTTTTTAAGACACTGGTAATGGAATGAGAATTTCTTCCTCTTACCCCCTGCCCCTGGCACAAGTATACAGATGGTGCTAGTTCATAGATCCACAAGGGTGGGGTACTTCAGGCACAAGGTCCTAATTAGTCCTTTGAAACTCTAGACAACCATGTTGCTTTCTCGAGCCCCACTACTGATAGTTTAGTAGTTTGCTAGCATTTGTACATTTTCCTCCATCTGCAATAGTTAGAGGATTTTCAAAGGATTAGCAAGACAGCAGCCAATTTCAAACAATCTGATAACCTATGCTTAAGGGTTGGTATGGGCAGTTACTGAATCATGAGTTATCACATTGTCTGAACCCATGGTGAACAACCCAACAAGCAGCCATGGCTTCTCTTCACCTGGATTCAGACAACAGCCTTTTCAACAACCTGTGGTTCAAAAACAACCCACACTTACTCCATACTTTCCCCTTAAGTGTGGGTTATTGAACCAGGGGTTATGTTGTTGGAACCCAGTTAATAAAAAGGTTTAAGCTCTACAATCCTGCTTTTTGACCTTACTCTTAGCCTTTGGCCTGGCTGCCTTGCTGTTGGCTCCGTCTACCACTGGAAAATGGTTTTCAAGAGCTTCTCCAAAGCTGAATTTAGCCATTCGGCTGAAAGGGTTTCCTCACCTATACAATTTGCCTGATAGTAAGGGCCATTTGGAAAAGGTGTAGCATTTTTTCCAGTTGCTGTGATGTTTGAAAATAATCAAACCCAATAAAAGTTCATACCCAATAAAAGTTTTTGCTGCACAATCCATATGGAAGCATCTCTTAAATATATTGCATTTTAGAAAGGTTTAATCCCAATTAAAATCTAGAGATACAGAATTTAACTCTTGATGAATTATATCAGTGGAACTGAGAAAGTTATTTGATCACACTATATGCTCATTTGTGTGCCTAATACCAGGAGATTTGTGTTATCAGCATTGACTGTTTTGTGAGTTGTCACCTGTTAACAATATCACTGTCAGCAAGCACATATTAGGAATTTAATTTCCTTCTGATCTTATGGTTTACAATTATATATCTGACATGCTTGCTACCCCTTCGTGCATCTGACGAAGTGGACTATCATCTACAAAAACTTATGCCACAGTAAACGTGCCAGCCATTAAGATGCTACAAGACATTTGCTGCTTTTGCTGCAACAAAACAATGGCTAGTCCGATGGAAGTTCTCAGATGGTGTACCCTACCCTGAGAGATGGGAGTGTTGGCAACCTAGCAGACAGGGCTGATGCGAAAGTGAACATGAAACCCTTAAAAGGCTATTTGTTTATTCATTTAAAACATTTATATACCATCAAATTGTGCCACAGCACCTCTGGGCAGCTCACAACTGTAAGATTAAAGTACAATTAAAACACAATAAAAACCAGTAACACATTAAAAAATAAGAATAAAATACAAGCAAAAAACACGAAACAAAGGTCTATGGTATTATTTAAAAAAAAAGAAGGAAGGTGCCTGGTGCTGAAAAGAAAGTGAGAAACTCACCAGGCAAATCTTGGGGAGAGCATTCCAAATATGGGGAGTGGCTGCAGAAAAGGCCCTCCTCCTAGCGGCCACCCCCTCTCCTCCTCAAGGGATGGCTCACACAGGAGGGCCCCCTGCGTAGATCTCAAAGGCTGGGCATGGGTGCAGGCGCTCCCTAAGACAACTGGGGCCTAAGCCATTTAGGGCTTTATATGCCAACACAAGCACCCTGAATTGGGCCCGGGCCACAGCTGGTGACCAAAGATCTTTCCGTGTAGGTGTTCCGTGGGCCGCTCTAGGGGCTCCTGTCACCAGCCGAGCTGTACCAATTATATTCTGTACCAACTGCAATTGCTGGACCGTCTTCAGGGCATCCCCAGATAGAGTGCATTACAGTAATCTATTTGGGATGTTACCAGTGCACAGGTGAATGTTTTCAGGCTCTGTCTATCCAGGCAAGGACAAAGCTATTATAACTTCCATAGCTGGAGGAAAGCATCCCTGGATACCAAGCTCACCTGATATTCCAGGGACACACCCAGGTCCAGGAGCACCCCCAGACTGTAGACACTGTCCCTTAGGGGATGTGCAACCCCATCAAGGACAGCGCAATGCCCCTCCAACCTGTCAAAAATGACCTCCATCTTGTCAGAATTGTGCCTCAGTTTATTGACCCTCATCCAGTCCATTATCGAGCTCAAGCCCCAGTTCAAAATGGCGAGTCTCACCTGGGTGAGATGTAAAAGAGATGTAGAGCTGAGTATTATCAACATATTGCTGAGTCCTCAGGCCAAACCTCCGAATGACTATTAAAGTGATACAGAAATGTGTTGTGTTTACACTTGAAAACAACAGCCCTTCAATTTAAAAATTGCATTTTCTTTTGATGAAAATACTTCTGACCTGGTTCCAAATAACCAAGTCCCCTTACAGGAGCCCGTTCTGCATGAAAGGGGATTTAATTTTCATGGATTCCACCCATGGTTCCATCCCAAGCTACTCCCAAGTCCTGGACAACTCTGAACTAGCAGGACGGTAGTGCAGGAGGAAGGGGAAATTGACCCTTAAAAATAAAATCCCTTTCTCTAGCGGGAAACCCCTGCTGAGTTCCTGCTAATACAGATTTAGATGCAACCCTGTCTACATATATTTGTAGAACACTCCCAAAAATTACATGCCAGCTTTGGAACAGAATGTATGAGCTTCTGAGAAAAATTGCACAAACGTTTGTCCTTGTTCTGACACACAGTGCAAAGTTCAATATGTGCAGGTGGAACAAAGTCTTGGGCTGAAAATGGGAATAAGTGTGCAAAAGTTTGCATGTCAGCCACTCTTAAACCTCACTGCAATCCAAAGCTAATAGTCCTGGAAGTTAATGAATCTTAACTATTAAGTAAAGCATTGTGATCATCTATAGGTTATGTTTCTGGTCCACTGCATTTTCCAATGCTGCTGCAGCCAGAGTGTGTACTTGTTTCCATAATCTTAGTACCTCTTGCTCTGCTTAGTGATGAGACCTACCAGGAAGCAGGAAATGAGGTAAAAAGGAGGGGTGCCTTCCTGGTCCTTGAACAGGTAGAACACAGTTATAATATACTTACAATGCATCTGCTTTTCCTTGTTTTTTGTTTTAATGTTTGAATTATTCCTTTCAACCCAATAGTTCAATGAGAGCTTAGCAGTTCCCAGAATTATACAAAGGAGAGATACTTATTGCTGCCAATTTA